ATATATATATATATATATATATGCATTCTTAGTATCATCTCTACTCTTAAAAGTAGCACTGATGGATTTAAGAGAGAGAGATCAATTTTTAAGGCTGGAAGTTGGATTATTGAAGTGGCTAACAGGCTACTCACATGATTTAATTAACGTGTTTCACTCTTTTTTATTATTTGTCACATATTTGCAAACACATTGACTGAAGAACTGCTAAAGTTAACCAAAAACAAACAAAAAAATCTCATGTTAGCTTTGGTTAAAGCTTCAAAGAGCTGCTGCAGAAGGACCAAAGAGCCCTCGGTTGCAGACCCCTGGTACAGTACATCTGAATTCACTCTGAAAGTATAAAGCTTTGTTACATAATCAGTTTTTGCTGTAAATGTGATTTTGGTGTCATAATCTGAACAAGGAGCGGCAAAATGTTTTCTGTTCTCTGGCTCCCCACTGACATTGGTTCACATGACCACAAAGGGAAAAAAATGGAAGAACATCATTAGAATTTTCTCTGTGTGTTATTTTATGTATTTTATATGTTTAAACCAATCAGCTTCAGAAGTGGACTATGAATCAATTTAAATGTCCTGATTTGATTTTTTTCGTCTATCATTTTTATTACTTGTTTGAGCAAAAGCGGAGAACAAGAAGGAAAAAGAAAATGTAGTTAAAATCATTTCAGTGGCTGTTTTTGCCTTATAAWTTTAAGGCACAGACACTTGTATGTTTCAGTAAATGAAGAGGAAATTTTGAGCAAACATTTATCCGATTGTCAGCATTCCTAAAGCRACCCAACAAAAGCAGGATGTGATCTCAGGCCTTGGTCCCCTCCCCCTCTGTTTTCCATGTTTCTGACACTAAATGTCCCACATGGCAGTGATGGAAACCCTGGAAAAAACAATGGTCTAACAGGCTGGAGGGCTGACATCACTTATTTCCTCTGGCTGACAAATGCTCTGTTAATCATAAAGACTCTTAAACATGACCTCTGTTATACTTTAAAATGTCAGAATTYAAGCCTGGAGACAAAGGTGCCCTTGTAAAGATCTTATCAGGATATATAATCCATAGTCTGGGCTAAGCTTTACGAGACAAGCTGACATCCTTCACAGCAGAATAAATTGTCTTGTTGATGTCAATTTCCAGGTTCTATATGGTTGAGGTGGGTGTCAAACACATTTTCCTATTCCTCACTCCATTTAGAGTCAAAACTTTCCATTTCTAAGTTGGAAAAATCAAATCACAAACTACAATAATGACTTGAAAGATCAGAGTTTTTTCAAAAGCCCTGATCTGAAAATCTAAAACGGTTTCTGTACTTATAAGGCAGTGTTAGCTGCAGTAATTATCAATCTAGGTGTGATTGTGTCAATGTCCGTCCATATGTCTGTCCATCCATCCATCCATCCATCCATCCATCCATCCATCCATCCATCCATCCATCCATCCATCCATACTCACATCCTACTGGTGCCCAGGTGCAGAAGTCACTGTGTGARGGGTGGGGTACACCCTCAACAGGTGGCATTTCCATCATGGCTCATATCAATGGATCTAAAATCATTTGTGCAGATCATTCAAGTGAACACATATCAAATGCTGTGCAACACTTTGCTTTTAGCTTGTATCGCTAACAAGAACTATCCTGGTTATTAAGCTCAACARTTAGCCATTTCTGCTATTTTTATGTTTATTTACTTGCAACTTGAGCRCAGTTAAGTTGGGTGTAACTTTATTTAGAGTTTCAACTTCCAACATGAATTAAACACAGCATTAAGCTACAGACAAATTGTTAATTGCTGCCTAATTATGATAAGGAAGGGTATTCCTTCCGGGAGATGATGCTCACTTCYTTTCTGGCTGTCATGAGGAGGAAGTGTGTGAGCAAGAGGTTTGGCGGTTCATAATCAGAAGAGCCATTAGGGGCTGGCAGGCAATGATCTTATCTACGACTCAGCCGAGACCACTCCGCTGCTGGGAAGAGAGAGTGGGAACAGGAAAGTGTAACCTCTTTTGCGTGTGCAAGCCCATTTTGAAATGAGTAATCACATGTAAACAAACACACACACACACACACACACACACACACACACACACACACACACACCAATGCACAACACGTTCAGGTACAAATGCATGCGCTGAC